ACACACACACACACACACACACACACACACACACACACACACACACACACACACACCCCCAAAAAAAAAACGAATAAAAATTTCAAAACATATTTTTAATTTCTAAATGACCTCGTGGTTATTTGATTCATCTTCTCCATCTTCTACATAAATAATGTCTGTTCTTGTTCAGTAAATCCAACAGTTTCTCTCCTACAACTCTGAGGAAGTTAATGGTATTTTCTGTTTCCCTTGCATGATCTCTATTTCTTCCAATTTGCTTTTTCCTTTTCTTTCTTTTTTGTTTGTTTGCTTTGGCCTGTTTCATATTAGAGGATTTGCTGAAACATCTGGAGGCCCTTGGCATCTGCTCATGGTTAACAGGGCATCACGGGAAAGTCTTGCTCTTGTGCTGTGGCTTCGTGGCCTGTGGGTGACTCTGTGAGGTTCTTTGACTGGGTTCTTGACTGGGGTGCCCAAATCAGCAGAGTGTGTCTTGAAGAACTGGACTCCAAGGCCAGATGACATGCATTTGTATTATTATTATTTTTTTTAATTTTACAAGTTTACGTGACAATTCCTAACGTATCTTAATGCTGAGCACACCAAAGACTGTTAACACTAGGTATTCATGCCATCGTCAGTCACATAAAGGACACCTATAAATTTAGGGTACAGAACTTTCAACAAATAGTAATTTAGTAACAGTTATTTGAAACTAAGTGTTTGGTGGACATACGAATTAGAGTGTATGTGGCTTCTTCAAGGGGTTCACAGTGAGGTGGAGGTGAAGATGGAGCGAAGCCCAGAGAGGGGCCTAGGAACGTGACAAGTTTGACTTGGCACCTGATAGGCACTTTTCACTTCATTTGTCTCCATTAGTAGCAGATGCTAAGTGCAAACACAAGATCGGCACCTCGGCTTGGTTGAGTTGAAGCCAATGCAAGTCCTAGTTCAAAAAGGCTCTGAGTCTTCTGCTTGGGACACAATCCACACCATGACAGACAGATCTGATGGGTTTTAATTATTAACAGGGTTGAAGTTGTTCAGGGGAACATGGGAAAATGAAAATTCTGAGAAGAAAGGAGGGCAGCAACCAAAACTACCATGGAGCAGGGCTGGCCTGTGCACACTTGGGTAGTGCGGTGCTGAGAGCACCAGGGCCACGGGTTCAGATCCTTATGGAGCAATGGCCGGTTGGCTCACTTGGGAGAGTGAGGTGCTGACAACACCAAGTTAAGGGATAAGATCTCCTTACCAGTCATCTTTAAAAATAATAATAATAATAATTTTTTTCAACTGAATAACTTGTCTCCATTGCTTTTCTTTTTTTTTTTCAATTTTTTTTTTTTTCAATTTTTTTTTTTTTTTTTTTTTTTTTTTGTCTCTTTGTCTTTTTTACTGACCGGTAATGGGATCACAACCCTCGGTGTCATGCCCGCAACGCACTCAGCCAGTGAGCGGGAACCAGTCTCCACATGGGATCCAAACCCTCAGCGGGAGCGCGGTCATGCTCCCAAGCGGCGTACTCTCCAGTAAACCACCGGACCGGCCCAGCCCATTGCTTTACTTTATAGAATAAGAGATGTTTCTGTGTTCAAGTATTTTGGCACTAGGAAATAATGAAATCAAAATTAGAAATGGAATGTAGTTCTAAAACCTCATCAAACTACAGTGATAGCTATAATAATCAAATCAATAAAGATTCTTAAATAATTATGACACTCCAATTTCGGAGCTACCTGCAAAGTCACAAATATATTTAAAGTTAAAACGCACAGCAATAGTAAAAACTTAACAGCACAGTCACCTCCCTTGCCTTGCTTATGTATCAATCCTTTCAAAGTAGCAGCCTCTCTTAAAGCAATTGCCATTTGACTAAATTGATCGCCTGCCTCAAACTCCTTGACATTTTAAACCATTCTTGCAGAGTCATCATTTTAATTACCCTCCCATAACTTGGATTTACCAGCCCCAAGTCATTCGCAATGTTCCCTGTAGTATTCCACAATGGGAGACAAAAAACTTACCCTTGCTTATCTGTGAGCATCTTTTTTTCTTGCAATCGCCTTATACTCCATAGCATCAGAGTATCTCTCTATTGCATTCTATTCCAATATGATCATGTATAGGCTGGCTGGTAGCTCAGCTGGTTAGAGCACAGCCTCGTATCACCAAGGTCAAGGGTGTGGATCCCTATACTGGCCAGCCACACACACACACACACACACAAAGATTCCAATATGATCATGTATTTATTTAGCGAATAGGAGAAGTTGAGACTGTTTTTGTTTTGTTTTGCTTTTTAATTAAATGAACTTTAAAAATACCTTGTTTATTTCAGTCCTTTAGAATTTTCTAGGGCTTATTAAGTTTTATCAATTTCTCTCTTTTAAACACACACATACACAGAGTACCTAGAACCCTAGTTGGAAGTTACAGCAGAAAGAAGGTACTATGGAGGCACAAAAAGAACAGCAAGAAAACTCAAATTCTTATGTTTTACAGGAATGATTTTTCCCTTTGCAAAAGACATGTTCCTTCCATTTCTTTGCCTCTTGTAACGTAACACGTCACCCCTCCCCCAAATATCATCTACTTTCCACTAAACTTACTTGCTGTAATGCCCTTCGTTTTTAAATGTCAAGCTCACTTGCCACGTTCTGCAATATAGCTTCTCTCAATTCTCAAAAAGTAATCTACAGTCTATTTTCTACTCAGCATCATTCCAGAGCCTCCCCCAATACTGACATTCTCCTTGACACCACATTTTTATATGTTAGTCCTAAACATAAAAGAAAAGCACCTCTAATGTCATATTGGTTAGAAGTGAGTCGCTAAGTCCAGTCCACACTGCAGGGCGGGGGATTACGTGAGGATGTGTGCAGCAGATGGTGGGGACCACTGGGAGTCCCTGAGGAGTCGCCCACCACACAGACAGAGATGTGGCACTTGAGTCTTAACTTAAATACCCATGAAGCCATTGTGAGGTTTTATGAAGGAAAGCAGTATGTGAATGCATGAAATTCCAACTGTCGCATGGTGCAGACAGGGAAAACAGGCCAAGAGCAAAAGTGACATTTTCAAGATTATCTGACAGCAACCAGACCTGTCGTTAGTCGTATTCCATGCTACCTTCCACACCGTCATGGGTTTTATCTCTAGTCTTGTTTATTAGCTGCATGTGGCACTGGCCATAGGTTTTAGAGATATTTTCTCACACATGCCTGATGCCATCCCTAGGAAGAAGATGCTAGAACGATCACCACTGTACAGAAGGGGAGACTGGGGAGGTCCGGAGAGTCACAATGGCTTGTCCAGTGTCACATAAGTGATAAGAAGCAGGAGCTGGGGCTGAACCTACATGTATCTCCTCCGAGCTGTGAGGCTGGCTGCACCTAGGCCTTGCACAGGGGTGTGGTCAGGCAGTGTTGGTGGAAGTGTGGGCAATAGAGAGAGTTCATGGGGAAGGAGGGTCAGCAGTCAGGTACCCAGAGAGTCGTTTGCAGTCTTGTACGCAGAAGAGAGGCCCAGGAAATGAGGTAGCAGGAAGTGACCGCACTTCCTTGACGACAGACCCCAACGGAACTCGGAACTCGGTAACCTGGCACCCACATTCTATACCCAGTCCCTTCCCCAGCTCACTTGGCCACAGGCAGAGTGAGATGTTGTGCTGTATCCCGAGGTCCCGGGGCCGTAGCCCCAGGCAGCCCTGTGCTGAGAGGCTTGTCCTATGCTTCCGGCGCTGGTTCAGCCCTCGCCCTGGGCTCCTGTGGCCGTTTGGCAGGAGGTCCCCAAAGGTAATGTCAGGTGGCCCAGGAGAGGGTGGTCCAGCCCAGGCCAGGCCAGCACTGTGAGCCTCCCTGGGTGACCACAGCCCCCTCCTGAGTGTGTGGGGAATGGGGACATTGGACACCCTCCCTGGGTAGGGGCAGAGGGTGGGACGTTTATCAACCTGCTGGTCCTGGTGTGTTCACACCTCAGGTCATTTCTGGAGGATGAAAGGGGACTGCCGGGGTGGCAACCACCACCC